GCGATATCGCGAGCATCGGGATGATGCAGCTCATGCAAGAAGCGAAATTCGAGCCGCGCCCGTCCGCCCATAATCGTTGGGGCGAAAGACAAGCTCGAGGAGCTTCGTCTTTCTTCTGAATTCCGTCCACGGCCAGGCCGGCAAATCGTGGAAATACCGATACCGATCCCCCCACGATTCCACGTGGATGGACGATTCGGTCGAACCGGTTCCATTTTGCGTGTGTCTCTCTCCGCGCGTGGAAATTCTCACCGACGAGTGTTTTCTTAACGATTCTCCCAGTTTCGCGAAACTGGATACGACGCGTGGCTCGAGTTATTGTTTCCCGTGGCTTGGTTATTTTTGCTGCAACGAGGTGCGAGGCGAGAGCGCGCTTTTTCTCCTGTAACGTTGCCTCCCTCGTATTTCCTTTCTGGAAATAGAAACAGCCGGTGCGCGCTGTATCCGAAACGGCTTTCTTCTTCCTCTTGCTACGAACGGTCGTTGCGATATTCGAGAATGCTTCCATTGGCGAAACTTTCGTTGATTTTTATCAGCAATAGGATGATTTGTCCATTTTCGTGTTCGTGGGTTATTTTTAACACGAATACGTTTGTGGGTAAATTAATCGTAAACTATTGAGAAATTAATTATTATTTTATTATGATAAGTTTAAAAAGCGTGGAATTGTTCAGGAAATTATTCTTCAACGAAGAAACGATGCTATTAAATAATTTTGAGAATTTCCTCTCTTTTTAAAAATTCCATTTATCAATATTCCACTTTCCAGGAATAATTGGGGAAAAAAATTCCAACTTCGGAACTTAAAAGATCTTAAGACAGGAATTGCAAAGGAAATGCTCGGGAAACGTTACAATAGCGATTTCTCTCTCCGTCTCGATAGAGAAACACTTTCGCGACGTCCATTAAATTACATTCACCCTCGAAGGGTGTCGCGGCCCAGTATTTTACAACCCGTGTAAATAAAAGAAGGGGCTTGGAAACAGACTTCTGACGCTTTCCTACTTTACTTCGCGCCGTATCATTGCCCCTTTTACGTTCCCCTCGACTCGACCCTTCCCTTCGACTTGGAGCGGTCAATCGAGCGATATCCATGCCCAGAATCCAGAATCCAGGATCCTGGATCGCCGTTTCTCCCACGTCGATCGCGATTCCTTCCCCCTCCCTCCCGGGGGAAATTTAAAAAAATCCCAATCCCACGTTAGGTTAGCTATTCGTCTTGCGGGCTATTCGTGTTTCCGCTCCGAGGCGTGTCACAAATCATTGCGTTTTCCCTCCTCCCCACGCTTCTTCCTGGGAGGAGGAAGGCGTGGTTCCACGGTGGTGGGATGATGACGAAGAAAGAAAGGAGAAGGAAGAATCTTGTGGGTTTGGTCATTGTCACGATGAGGTCTTGCTCGCACGATCGTTCGAGATCCTCTCTCTCTCGTTTATCGTCCGATCGTATTCTTCCGAGAGATCGAGATTTTCATTTTCGATGGTCCCGTTACGGGCGTACTTAGGGAATAGTTGAGAGGTTTTATCGAAATCGTTGCGGGGGAGTGGACGAGTATTTCGTCACTTCGAAAACCCTCGATCTCGTCGAATGCCGATCACGTTTCATTCGTTATAAAAAACGCGACGGGCGTAACGGGGCGGAATATCGCGAAGATTTTATTTTATTTAATTCGGAATGTGTAGCGGGTTACGTGTTCTTGCGTAATTGTTAATTCGGTCTGGTGTTGCGTCCAAATCTAAATGTAAATACGGGAGAATCGTGATACGCGAGGATTATTATCCGTGTTTATATATTATATAAACTTTGGCACTGTTTGTTTTGGTAATAATAGTCTGCGTGGATGAATGTGCGGATCGTTCGACGAGATAACAAGTAGATTAGGTCGGTGAAAAATATTCTGATTTCAAAGAGAGAGAGAGAGAGAGAGAGAGAAAAAATGTTATTCCACGCTTTTTATTTTCGCACGTGGAATAATCTTCCACCGATAATCCAGTAGTAGGTTTTCCGGTTCCGGAAATTGGCCAAATTCTATCGCGTTCGACAAGTTTTCAAACTCAATTTCAACTCGAAAACGAAGCCTCAAATGAAAAAATGTTATTCTAATCTTTTTTGACGTCTCCCCTCCCCGTGTAAAATCATCTCGCGTCCGATTATATCACCCGTCCTGTCTCGCCTGCTATATGTATAACAAATTACAAGGAATAAAATATCCATAGAATTATTTCATTTCAAAAAAGAATTCTAAAATCTACGACGATATAATTCGTCAATTTATGACCATCAGTTATCATTTTATAAATCATCATGAACGTATCCCAAGAATGGAAAATTCAAAACTCATTATTACATCGTAAATAAATAAATTTTTCAATCGAATTCAGCGCTACAAATAACAAATAATAAATTCCAATTGATGCTTAAAATTAATAAATCACTGGAGGGGAGAGAAATCTCGGAAGAGACGAGAATTTATATAAGTATAAATCTCTTGAGCGAAAGAACTATTCCCCTCCCTTCTTCCCTCCAGAAAATGAATATCAACGCGAGAGGAAGATGGATAAAAATCGCAGGGTGGCGGCGGGTGGATGGAAATAATCACGGGGATCGCGGCCCCATAAGATCCATCTCCATACGTTCTCGTTTCGTTTATTTGGTCGAGCGACGTCCTCGTAAAGACATCAAAGCTACATCCTCGACGGTGGAATAAAGACTACGGAAGTCCATAAAAGTGGGGCATTAGCTAGGGGGAGGGGGATGGAACACAAGGGTCGATCGATGCCCGGTACATGAGGGGGTGGTCGCGATTCGCGCCACCACTCGACCCAGAGATTTTCAATAACGTTTACAACGCGATCGCACGTGAAGCACGTGTAATGGGTCGTTTAACGATCTCCAAAGGGCGCTCGTTCGTCCAAACCGATGCTTTTTCGTTCCAACTCACTTTTCGCTGGGAGCTGTTGTTTTTTAAGCCCTAGAAAGACGTCTGAAATATTGAATCCGGACGTTTCAGTTGTGAAAAGCGCTTTTTCCGTCCCTTTTTTCCTTTAGATTTTTTTTCTATTTTCGAAGATATCACAGCACAGAAAAAGAGAGAGAGAGAGAGAGAGAGAGGTAAGGCTAATTCTCTCCGAAACGATATTCGTCTCGTTATACCCGTTATATTTTAACCGAATCTTGTCTCGTTCATCGAGCTAACTAAGCTCCAGACACGGGACTATTAATTTCCACGGGAGGTATTCTAATTAACTCGAATTTTTCTCGTCCCGTTTCCCCCCCGCCTTCTTCTTTCCCTCTGCATATCTCACTCGCTCGATTTCGCCCGTGGTTGGAAACGTCCGGTGTTGTTCCTTGTTAACAATTCAACGCCTCCCGTCCCTGGTGCAGAGCACATACAACGATGCTTCCAGCGAGGAGGACACGGAGAACCGGGTAGCGAACAACAGGGTAGTGTCGAAAATGTGCACGAAAATGTGCACGAAAAGATGCACCGGTGCGTGTGCATAGATCCCATTCGTTGTAAACCGTTCCGCGTTAACCGGTCGTAAAGCGGCGGAACGCAAACATCCGGCTCGCGAGTGGTGGCGCCCTCGTAAAATCTTCTTCGAGCGACGTTCGTCGTGACCCGAGGCGAATGACGAATACGCTCGTAAAAGATGAAAAAATAAAAAGAAAGAAAGAAAAACATTTCTTGAGGAGAGATTTCTAGCGGTTCGTTAGATAGAAGATAGGAGAGCGAAGAGGGGGGGGAAATGTGAGAAATCCGGGAAGCGGATGAGACTTATGAATAATGGAGGGACGCGGGTAGGCCGATGACGCGCGAATCGATGTGTCGCGGATAAACACACATATAAAATTGACCGTAATAAACGTGGAAACGTTTTATCAGGTTTCGCGGCGCGGCGAATTGAATTGTAAACCGAAACGAATCCGCTGCGCGCTCTCCTCTCTCTTTCTCTCGCCCATTTTTCACTCCCCCCTCCCTCTCTACCCTCCTTTCTCTCCTCCTCCCGATACAGTGTTTGCCGATTCCTGAAACGTCGCGTTTTCGAAAACGGATATTGCGCCGAAATAAACTGAAACAGATAAATTTTCCTCGTTTATGTAAATAAACTGGAGAGGCCCTCCCCGGTCCACCGTGCGTGAATTTACGAGGACAATCATAAATTCGTTGACACGTCGGCGTATCGACTCTCTCGTTGACGAAGTTTACAACGGTGGAAAAAAAATTCGAGCCGTTTTCAGAAAGAAAACGGATCGAATCGCTCGTTGCGTTATATCTGCGTGGAACATTGCATATAAATTGATCTTCGTGTATACTTCGCTTCGATTTTTATTTTCGCTCGAAAAAGGAGAAAGAAATTTTTTTCAAACGAGAAACTCCGGGGAGGAGAAGGAACGAACGAGGAGAAACTGTATAAAATACTACGCTCGGTATATCGAATCCTGTTAAAAGCAGAAGCCCATAACGCGGAAACTTGGAACAACAATTTCTCGTATACCATCCCTCGCGAGAACTAAGTATACATCGAATAAATCCGCGGACGGGAATGGACGATTAACGGGCGCGCGTTATCGCGAGAACAGCGACGTTGTGTTGGCCGCTATCCGGGGAATTAGGGGACGACATTAGTAGGCTGACACGTATGCAAAGCATGCGGCCCACTAATAAACATAATCGTGCGCGTACTTGAGTGCATGCTACCCGCTCTCGAAATGGACAGTGCAATTGCTGCGTAAACGTGTAAGCGAGCAACGATCGGTCGATTACAGGTGTATTATACGTACGAACCGTGTAAAATTATCGAAATGATTGTATACTCGAATTCGTTCCGACACACGATATATGAAATCGAAACTTTGCCAATCTTTATCTAAAATTATAGAGTGTTACATATATATGTTCACGAGAGGATGCGATTAATTTGAATTGGATAAATTCAAGTGTATTTAATGAACGGATCTTAATCCTCGTTTTCACGTATTATTTTTATATCTGTTTCAGATACCAGATTCGAGGATCCAAGAGACCGTTTCAACGTCAGCGCGTAAGTCACATGTAATTTCCTCCTCTTCTTATTCCTTCGTTCATTGCGATTTTAATTTATTAAATCGCGTTGTAGAACACGTTTCACGTCTCGATAACGCATAATCTGTAAGCTCTATCCAGTGACATATTTCACGCTCGTTTAAGAATTAATGGCAAGGGTTGAACTTTCGTCGAGACGTTGAGAACCGCGCTCTGATTGGACCATCAGCGAAACGTTAACGCGGCGAGCGGACGCGAAACGAATAAAATTTTATAACGGAGATGATATCTGGCTGCAGTCACGGTAGATTAAGCGCGCGTGGGTCGAATAAGCTGGGCGCGATCGGGCGGCCGTGAAATTGAACTGTGCCGCGGAATAAAATTCGACGGGTTGGCCGCGATTAAAATCGATTGGTGTTTGATCGATGACACGGCTGACGAAAACCGGAGCCGGGTTGTGCCCCTCTAGTCGCTGAAACAACGGTTGTGCTTCTATCGACACGGAAAATCGTGGACGTCGCCAATAATCGCGGGACAATCGAGCGATTTAGAAACGTTAGATGTTAAAATTTCGAATTTCGAGGAACCGCGTGCAGTCGTAAGAATCCGTGGAAAAGAGAGATCTCGCCTCTGTTTTTTCCACTAATAGAAATGAGTAGCCACTTTTCTCCCGACTAAAAGTCCTCTGTATATGGCGGTATTTTTTTAAACACGACCCACGAGACTTGCGTAAAGTCGACTTTCCGTTCGCACACGGAGGGCTTTAAATACTAACCTCATCCCTCATCCCCTTGAAGAAGAAACTTTTCCAAAAACCGCGCCACGGTTTCACGTTTCGTTCTGCTCCTATTTGGGGCGGCAGCCGGTCGAACATCGGCGACAAATATTCGAGTTCTTGGTCCCGTATATTTACACAGCCGAATTTACGAATCCTTTGGAATCTGGAGGAGTAGAACTGGTCGAGAAGACGCGACGAATTATATGAAAAGACTCGGGTGGGTGTAGAAGAAGGTGGTCGAAGAAGGGCTCGAGAGAGCAGCATCCAAGGGCGAGCTATTGATAAAAGTGGTCGATCGCCACGATTAATTGCGGCCTCCAGACACGTGGAATCGCGATGGAGACTAGCTTCGTTAGCGAGAAGCTTTTCCTCCTCGGTTGGACGAATACGGAATGCCTGGACACTTTTTGTCCTCGCTCGTAAATTTATCGTACCTCGGCCTGGAGTATATTAACTGGCGAGTCTCCAACTAGCGACATGCCGGAGGATTTGTTGGATTTGATACGAGCAGGCCGCGGTTTCGTCTCGCGAATAGTTTGCGAGAGGGAGGAGGAGGAGGACCGTGGAGGAGCGGGACACCCTCTTGAGGTCACGGTTTTGGGCAGGGACAGGAGATATATTGTTCTTCCGCAGTCGGACTTCGCTTGAATTGCGTGTGTATAACGTATATATATATATATATATAAACGTAAATTAATGCTACGTTATGGTTTCCTGTATACGAAAAAGTTTATCGGAGGGATTTATTATGAGAAGATTATTTCAGAATCGAAGAATCTTTTATTCTTCGTCCTTCGTTCGATATTCGCTATCGATTCGTACTTTTGGAATATCAATGAAGATTAGAAATATCGCTTGTCTTTTGAATGGTCACGTGTTATCGAATTAAAAATAAGAAATCTGTAGGATTTCTCCAGGATTGAAATATTTCCAGTCTTATCTTCGTTTTTATCCGTGTGCGAGCTCGAAGGGTGGCAGAAAGGCGGGGCTTTCCACGCGTGTCAGAGGTACTCCGGAACACGTGGCTCTGCGCCCCGTGCAACATTGTGCAACATAATACGAGTCCTGCGAATCTCGTTCCCACTCTCGATCTTTCATCGAGATCAATCGATGATCTCGGATACAATCGTGCCTCGCCAATTGGGCTGTTGTCGTTACCTTTGCTCCTCCTCCTCCTCCTCCCTTCTTCGTTCTGATGAAGTTAGAAAAAGAAATAAAATTTACAACCCCCGTAACGAAATGGCCGATACGATTCCAACGAACGAGGCTCCACCCTCTTAAGCGACGCGTTAACGCGTTCAATTTTCACCCTCGTCGATCGATTTTCCAAGTTTTTTAATTAATTAGACGGTGGAGAGACAAGGAGCGAGAGAGAAGGGGGAGAGAGGGGCGGGGAGAAGCTTAACGAACGTCTGGGAAATATCTGGAAAAGCGGGGGAAGCCAAACAAAATTAACTTTTCACGGGGGTGGTTCGAGGCGGCGCACGTGGGCTACACGAGCCGATTCACGAGGAGCCGATGCTTAAGTAGCTCGCCCTTCCTCACCTGTGAAAACATCAAAGCTATCGGGAAAGGGTTTTCCGGCCAACCGTTTACCACCCTCTTCCGTTTAATAATCGATCTTCGCCTCCGCGCTTTTCACGGCCAATTATCCACTCTACCGGCAAACTTTCCCTTGTTCCTCCTCGGTCGAGGTGAATCAATGTTGGATCATCGAAATTGCCAAGATAAGTTAAACTCGCGTGAATCCTCGAGTTAACTCGATATCATCGGCCTCGTTTCAACCGAGATAATAAGATTTCTAGAGATATCGATTTTTTGCGGGCTGGATGATGAATAGAAATTTTCTTTCTTCGAGCAACGGAACGACAAAATTTCGGAGAAACAATTTCTTCAAAACTTCGGATCGATAATCTCGAACCGAGCGATAATTCTCTCGCGTTCTTTCTTCTTTCTTGCGTCCTCGATCGATACAGGAAAAAAAACTCGAATCTCTTCTCTCGATCCTCGAAAACTATTCTCGAGAAGTTTCGCGCCCTTTTCCAGACAAAAACGAACGCGGCGTTAAAATGGAATCAGGTTCGACCGTTTATTAAATTTCCGAAATGCGCGCAATATCCCGACAGCGAAAGGGTTGAAACGCGGACCCCCTCCCCCTGGCTAAAACGGCCAGGTGGGTAATATTGCCAACTTGTTCATACAGTTACGAACACGCGGTGCTGTTAATCACATCGAATTACAACACATGGAGCCAGTGCATTTTGAGATATGCGAATCTAGTTAGCCGACCGCTGGCGTTAACGCCCGTTGCGCTGGAAGAAGGAAAATGGGATAAATGGGCGGCCACGAATCGAATAATGCATAAACGATCGCGGTTCCCGGAAGATATTTCGCCCTCCCCCTGTTTACATGGAAAACGTTATGGGAAATCGGGCCCAGAATTTCAATGCTTGTTTACCGTTGCACCGAGATACAGCCTATCTTTATGACAGCCGTGGATCGTAACGCTGTTGTCGATTTGACCGCGATGGAAGTCGAGTCTCTCGCACACACAGGTCAGGAGGATTCATTTGGAAATTTATTTCGTCGATGGTTCAACTCTTTCGAAAAAGGCTTTCAACGTGTTAAGGGGAAAATAGACTGCCTTCACAATATATATATAATAAATATGTTAAATCGAATATACTTATGGATATACTTTGGGATGCTTTAAAGATCGCAGAAGATCTTACTTTACCGATTATCTTTGCGATTAGCTGAAGAAGAATTCGCACGATGGAATTATCCGAAAAATTCTATTTATTCGATGGATTTTGGATGGAAAAGACGTTACACGTTTAACGCGGTCGATAATGCGACCCTATTTTCTTCTTCTTTCTTTTTCGAACGTTCTCCGTTCCCACGAACATCTGCAACCACGGCGACACTCAATCGCACAAAGAGAGCGAAAGGATCGAGACACGGATATCCAACAATCGTGTACCGATCCAATCTCGGAACGAGGTAGATCCATTATATAAATATACGCGACGAAAAAGAAAAGAAAACAGAATCTCGTTGTTGCGCGGAAACCCTTTGGCCCGCTTTCCTCCGGACTGGAATCGTGTAGCTGTCTACACGCGCGAATACACTGCTTCCTCGACGGTTGGTCGGATATAACTCTATTAAACTTTGAAATATCCTCAAGGTATTGGGTGGCGCACAATGGTGGCGAAGGAACGCGTCTCCTCCTGTGTCGGCGGCCACCCTCTCCTGACCCACCCTCTTCCCCTTTTCAAAACAAACTGTCGCACACGTTTCACGTATAGGGAGACGCTTTTTAAAACGGCAATGAACTATGTTGCCGCGAGGGCAGAATCGAGTCGGGGTCCAAATAGGCTTGGAGCGAAGGGGGAGGAACGAAAATAAAAGGCGAAGGGAGAGAGGGAGAGGGAGGGACCAAATTGTCTTCAATGGTGTGCGAATTCTGAAACGCGTGTGTGCATAAACTCGTCGAATGAAAGCTCGACTACCTATCTACTTACCTACCTACCTATTCTACCCCTTTTCGTGTCAGGGGTTGCGCGATTTTATCTCTTTCATTCTTCCGACCGAAGGGGCCCCCTTCGCGAACGCGGTTCCTTACAGGCGAAGATTCAACGTGCGACACGTTGAGAAAGAATGAGAATAGTTGGGATGATAACGTCTCACGGCCGTCTTTCAACCCGACCCAAGGAAATCTCGAGACGAAAAGCAACCCTTCCCTCGTGCGTTGGCGATTTAACCGCTTAATCCGAACCACGTTTCCTCGAGTCGCACACCTGAACGTTTCTCTTTTCTTTTCTTCATCTACGGTTCCTTTCTTTTTCTTTTTTTCTTTTTCTTCTTTACGGTTCGAGCATATCTTTTCAATTCCTCCGCAGGCGACATCCGTCTCCCAGTTGTACCGAATATCACGATCGACGATTAGATCTCTCGTCTGATTAGTCCGGGGAAGTGCGTCAAGGGTTCGAGGAGGAGGGAGGGACGCATGCACGCACGCCTCACCCTTTCCAAAGCGACGGTCGAGGAGGAGATGGTCGGGGCCAGGTAAGGGAGAGGTTATTGTCGACAATTGGGGGGAGGGTCGTGCGACTGCGAGTTTAAAGGATCAAGGGTTAGAGGCTGTGATTCTGGATTCTAGAGGCCCTCGGGAATATCTTGGAGATCGAGCTTTACAGATGTTGATGCGATTTGCCGTAATCTTCTTCGATTCTCGAGACGATTGTGCTCG